TTGCAATCTACCACATCTATTGCACTTTGACAATTCATCATCCCAATACTTTTCTTCACATCTTTCACAAACCATGTTGTGAGATAGTAAAATGAGGATCGATAGAGAGGTCCACGTTGCCGATCCAACCAAACCAAATTACTGCGGAAGTCACGTGAAAAGAACATCATTTCTATTTTTATTTTTAATATTATATTTTGTGAAACTACTGCGCCACACATTGCGCAGTATCACACGTACACTTACCCATATTCATATTTCTATATGTATACTTCAAGAACTTATTCAGCTGATGTAAATATTTACTTTAAGCATAGTTTATTGGACAAACTAGAGTAAAAGTCATGTTATTTGTAATACCCAAAGAGGTATAAAAAGACTTGGTTTTAGACCAAGTCAGAATCATCATGTTTATAATAATCTTTTAATTATTAATCTAATAATTAATACTTCCTAATACATTGTAATAATATTATTATTATCACTAATAAAACACATAACATATTTTACCTAAAAATAGTAATCTCTAAATTAATTAAAAAACCACAAAGGGGAAACCTTTGCTGTACCTAGCAAATAACCAACATTCTAATTATTGAGAAACATCTCAAGGGGACGCCTTTGGGATATAGTTATATATATAAAACCTAGGGACCCTTTTATCCAAAAGGATAAAAGTTATATTTTATTAAACTTTGACCATAAGTCAGCGGGTAAGTGTTTTAAGGATGGTGGTGGTGGTTATTGCCCACCACCCATTGTCACTCTAGTTTAACTTATATATACTTATTTCTTTTTTAGACATTTAGGAAAAACATCATATGAAAAAAATTTTACTAAATCAGTTTATGAAGAGGATGATATTATAAATAATCAAATTCTTGGAATTTATAAGAAAATCACAATTTTCCAAAATCTTGCACCTGAAATTCTCTATGAAATATTTAAGTATTTTTGCCCATCAGATTTATTATCACTATCACAAACTTGTCATAATTTTCACACTATCTTGACCAATGAATGTAATATAACCAATAATATTTGGGAGAACTCAAGATCAATTTATTTCCACTACTTCAAACTGCCTCCACCACCAGGTTGGACAGAATTACAATACATTAGATTTATCCTTACTCAAACCTGCTCTTTTTGCAGCAAGATTAAATCAACGGAAATTTATTGGCAACTATGTTTAAGGTGTTGTACTAATTGTCTTGATAAAAAAACTACTAAAGTAAAGTAAGTAATTATTTATGTGCTGCTTCTTGTATAGAAAATTTTTCTAATTGTTTAATATATTTTTTATTTTTATTTATAAAATTTTATTTACAAAAAATTTTAGTACATTTGTTGCAGATAGCTATTATGGATTACCTAGAGCTGAGATGGGAGGGAAGATAATATTCTGGACCAAAGATATTGATACATTAGCCCTATGAGAAGAACCTAATGCTAAAGAAGAACAATTCCTTAAAGAATCTACAGAATGTGATTTTGACACTTCATTGTTTTATTTGACCTTAAATAAGTTGACGAAAAAAGCAAATGAAATTGTCAAGGAAATTCTTAATGAGGGGAAATTGACAAAACTATATGAAGCTTATTATATTTATACTCATTTCCTTTCTAAAGACTAGTGCTGTAAAATATGGTGATGGTAGTAATTGTATTTATGGCATATAAAAAGTGGTCACAATTACCTTTACGACCACTTTTGCAACCATACTTTTTCCTTTTTTGGATTACATCACTAGTCTTTATTCCTTTCATATAAAAGGGCAATATTTCATTTTGCTGAATCCAAAAATGGAGAACTGACAAAAAATTATTGGCAAGGTCTGAAAAACCAAATAATCTATGAGGCTCAGAGATCCTATAGACAAGATATTGTTTTGAACTACATAGAGAGATGGCAGAAGAGTGGTACTTCTGAAGATGATTGCCCTCTTGGAAATCCTAATGATGATCTTTTGAAAATCTTACAAAAATGTCAAAGTTTCAAAGATCCACCTTTATATAACAATCATCCCTACACCATTTATTCCGACAGCTTCATCAAAACATTCATACTCCCTAAATTAATAAAAGAAGCTAGAGGAGACAGCTTACTAATTTTAGATCTTTCAAAATCTGAATTTGATTCATCAGAGCAAGAATACTTTGAACCTTCTGATTATAATATGGATTCTGATTCTATTGAATTACATTCAGATCCTAAAAATTTATCATATTCGTTTCTCTTTGGATCTTTTGAATCTGATGGATCAGGATTGTCCCAAGAGAGTCAATCCCTCTGATATTTGGTAAGTTTTTGCAAATAATAATTTCTCTGCACACACATACATATATTTATATTATATAATTTTCTTGAGGAAATTATTATACTTGCAAAAAAAAAAATAAAAAAAATAATATATATATATATTATACATGTACTCAATTACTCATTTTATACACTCATCTTCTTTTGATTATTTATTAATGGCAATCAGGATCATTCTGCCACTTTCTGATGAAGACTCATAAATCATCATAGAAACATTTATTTTGTGGAAATGTAAATTTGGAAATTGGAAATAGACATCAACAATGATGATTCATCAACTTGTTTACTATTTATATTATATTGTAGTATGAATCAGTTATTATAAAAAATAAAATCAAAATAATCAATCGGGTGTAGAGCTTACATATGAACTGGTTTGAACCATGATTGTCTACTTTTCTTTGATCCAAATGTTTGATAATTTGGTTTGAACCAATATTTGATTATATTTTTTTAATGTATATTCAATTAAATTTACTTAAAAAATTTTTTTTTGAATGATATACTTGATTTGAATTTCTGAATGGTTCAAATCATTCTGTCTCAAAAGTATTGATTCAAATTTGGTTTGAACTGATTCATGCTTAAACATTTGATTCAACTAATTTTTGATCCCTGAAATCACTTTGTGACTTAGTGTTCACTTTGTCTGGTTTTGTTGCAGCATGCCCCATATGTCAACATTCAAAATATATTTTTGTGGTAAAAAATGAGATGTCATAATATAATAACAACAAGAATGACAACAAGTGGCAATAACCACCATTCTATATTATGAATACTTACCCAGAAACAACTACCAACTTGTTTTTCTTAACTTTTTTATGTTTATTAGGTGCCATATAAAAAAATTTTGTAAGTTTAAGTAGGAGAATGTACCTTTGTTGATTGATCAACAAAGGTGTGCTGTGTATATATAAAATTCGCTGTGTAACTATTTCAAATTTAGAAACTATCTGCAAAATTATATTAATGTAAGGCCATTACACCTGGGCGTTGTGGCATTGAATTTTATGCACTGAATGTGTGCACATTAATTATTTAATCCGTGATGCTTTTAAGAAGGAAAGGATTTTGTTAATGATCAGTGGGTGCATTTGCAACATTTTATAGTGTGAGCATGCAAACCAAGTTACTTACTTATTAGTCAAGTTTTTATATCAACACATGTCTGGTTTTCTTAGAACCTCTGATTTATAGCTGAAACTTCTTTTTTTGCAGGGTGGATTGTTTAGAGTAAATATAGTATACCTCTTAATGTATTACAAATAACATGACTTTTACTCTATTTTGTCCAATAAAATGTTTATTAATGCTAACTTCTATATTACTTGCTCACTAATTAATAATTACTAATGCCTAGGGATATGGGGGACAACTCAATGTTGCACATATAGATATTTGCAGATCTTTCAATTCCAAAACTGTCACCCCTTCAAAAATTTAGAAATGTCTTATGTTTCATAGTAAAAAGAGAACTTTACATAGAAAACTTTACACACAAGAGTTTTTGAACAGCTGATGCAAAAAAATCAAGTTATTATTGTTGAAAGCTTTACACTTTTCAAATTTTCTCTTAATTATTAATTACCAAGGAAGCATATAAAATTATATATAATGACAATTATATTCATTTTACTTTTGTTTGCAAACAAACTACAAGTGATAACAAAATTAAAACAGTTATAAATATTGTGTGAATGATTAAGCAGGTAAAGAAGTAATATACACATATACTGTACATATGTATAAGATATTGGGCGCGCAGCGGCCAATATCATGACATCCACCTAATGATTGGCTGGCATTGCATCACGTTAGTGATGCAATATCAGCCAATCATTAGGAATCCTGGATGTCACTGAAATTGTCCATCGCACGTCCAATATCGATGTTATCGGGCAACCACTATTAAGCTATTCTTTCAAACGTCACTGTTTATTAAAGTTTAATTATATTAATGATATTGATTTTTTTTACATAGATATGCTTGCTTTACATTTTTTTCTTTTATTATTTATTTTAAATGCCAAAAAGAAAGGTATTATTTATTTATTTTTCTATTCTAATTAATACTAACAATATATTTATTATTTATTCCTCCATTTCTGATTTTATTTTTTCTATTAAGCTCTTGCTCAATCATTCTCCCAAACTGATACACCTCCATCAATTGAACTTGACCGCTCAAAAACCCTTACTGAATCAACAAATATTTCCTTGACCAGTACTGATACATCAGTTAATACACCTACTTCAGCAAGCATATCTGGTTTACAGAAAAATGAAATGCTTGAACGATTTCTTCAAGGGAATTTTCAGAATTGTACAATAAATTTACATTTTTAAATGGTTTAATTTATATTATACTTTACTATTAATGAAATGATGGAAATTTGTATACATAATTGAAATAATTTGCATAACATAATTGAATAATTAATAAAATAATATAATTTGCATTAATGATTTAATTATATCTTATATAAATGTTGTACGTGTATAAGTAGTATAAATCATAATGACGTCATTTTGTACCTAAAATAACAGGGCAACCAAAAATAGCTTAATAGTGCTGTTTGCCCGATAAATATATATAATAATAAGAAAAAAAATATTTATATTTTTTTTTATTTTTCAAAGATGACAAAGAATAATAATATTAATCAAATTTTCCATATTTCTAAATAATGATCTTACACTAATAATCTTCTCTAAAAAGTAACCTCACTATTGTTTTAATCAAAGATTCAAATCTCTTCTAAATGTATAAATAAAGGTGAAATTTTCTTTATTTGAATTTTTTAAAATTGATAAATTGATAATAAATAAATATCTTCTAATAATTCTACATAATCAACATTTTCTTTGATTTCTTTAAATTAATAAATCTCTAAATTCTACAAAATTAAAATGTCTAACAACTATCTCCTTCTTCCAAAAAAAAACGTGTATATGTATATATTACTGCTGAACAAAAATGTGAATTACGTTTATTGAAACAAACTAAACCTCAAGCAAAGAATATTGAATTAGCACAAGCCAAAGTTACTGATATATTGAAAGAGTCTAATAGATGGCTTGAAATCGATCTAAATTCTTATCAAGCAAAATAAAAAAGCACATACTTCTCCTGTTGCTAATATTGAAGATGCTTTAATTTTATAGATCCAGAAGCACTTGAATGTAATGCAACAATTACAAGCAATGTTATTCTAAAATTTGCTGAGTTATTAGGTAACAATACTTTTAAAGCATCATCTGGTTGGCTTGATAAATTCAAGAAGAGATATTCAATTAAAGAATATAATAAACATGGAGAATCTCAAAGTGCACCTATTGAACAGGTTCCTGTAATGAGAGAAGAATTGAAAGATGTTCTTAAAAATTAAAAATTAAAGAAGAGAGGATATTTTTAATTGTGATGAGATAGGTCTTTATTGGAAGATGGAACCAACTTGTGGATTATCAACAGCCCCATCTCAGGCTTAAAGTTAAATAAAGAAAGAGTGACAGTATTATTAACTTGCAATGCAACTGGTACTGAAAGGTTACTTCCTTTATTTATTCATAAATATGAAAACCCTTGACCATTAAGTGAGGTTAAAAAAGATACATTGTCTGTTGACTACTATTGGAATAGTAAAGCATGTATGGAATGATTACTTAAAAAAACTGAATGATAAAATGTGCACTGCAAATAGGAACATATTATTACTTATTGATAATGCACCAACACATATTTTAATGGATAATTTAGATTTAAGGAATGTAACAATTCATCACTTTCCTCTAAACACAACTGCACACTTGCAACCATATGATGCAGGGATAATTAATTCCTTTAAGGTCTATATTTCAAACTATTTAAATTATTTATTAAATTATTTGCATCAAATATATTAAATTATTAATATGTATTTATATTTACAGTCAAATTATTTATTGCAAGGAAGATTAAAATTCTTGATAAGAAACAAAATGGTTTAAATCCAAAAGGAATTGATATTAGAAAGGTGATAAATTTTGTCTTGGAAGCCTGGAAAAATGTTACACCAATAATTGCTGGATAAAAATTGGCATTATTCCTTTAGATTATGAAGAACAAGTTGGAGATACAACAACATATTATAAATGATCAAAGAGATGGTGTTGATAATTTAATTGATAGATTAAATTCAGTTCAGTATTAACAGCAAAGGAATATATATCAATTGATAATAATGAGAATAATGAAATGCCAACTGAAAAGGAACTTCTTAATTCTTTTGAGAAAATTGAAGAAGTGGATATTATTGTAAGTAGTACAACTATTCCTAATGTTCAATAAATGAATCTGTAAAAGCTTTTGAAACTGCTTTTAATTTTCTTGAACAAAATAATATACAAGCAGATTATAATGAATTAAAAGCTTTAAAATCATTGAAAAAAAGAAAAATCATACAGTAGTATTAAATTCAATACAAACATTACTAGTTTTTTCAGTAAATAATTGACTATTAATTAGCATTTTAATTTTTTTGTATTATATCAAGTATAGTATTAAGTATTATTATATTTAAATCATTAAATGTAAAAAAATTATTATTATTATTAAAATTTTTCTGTTGATTCTATCAATCATTATCTTGTTTCTCTTCATCAAAGAAGAATGATGGTGGCAACCATGAAGGTGAGGGTGGTGGTAGCTATGGTGATGATGATGGTTTGTGAAATCTATAAATACAAGTAAATAGTTAAATTCTGCAATCATTACCAACATTCAATATTTTAATTTATACTTACAGACTTATTTTTACGCCTTCTTGGTGGTGCTCCATAATTATAGTATACACATTTTATGTTTCAAAGATTATTTTTTCTTTGAGAATTGCCACCTAAATTATGTTCATCATTGTCATTATGATTGTGATCACCATGTTCATGGTGATCTTTTGTAGAAGATCCATCCGAACCAGCAGAAAAACCAACACATGTCAGCAGAAGAATCTAAATTTTCTTTTAAGGAATTTGCTTCATTATGTTCATGGTCATCAGATTTATGTTTGTCAATGTCTTCATAACCATCTTCATCATTGTTATGATCATAATTATACATGCAGCCAGCATAGTGGAATTTTGTTTTTGATCGACATTCGAAATTATCACGTTACACGAACTACACAATCTTTATTATACG